ACAAGGGGGCGCCCTTCGCCAGCCGGGACCCGAGCGGGCGCGCCCTGGGGCGAGCCGGCCTGGAGATGGCTGCGAGGCACGGGTGAGCCCCCCGCGCCCTCACCATGCAGAAGAGCGTGCGCTACAACGAGGGGCACGCCCTGTACCTGGCCTTCCTGGCCCGCAAGGAGGGCACCAAACGCGGCTTCCTGAGCAAGAAGGCAGCCGACGCGAGTCGCTGGCACGAGAAGTGGTTCGCTCTCTACCAGAATGTGCTCTTCTACTTCGAGGGCGAGCAGAGCGGCCGCCCGGCGGGCATGTACCTCCTGGAGGGCTGCAGCTGCGAGCGGGCGCCCGCGCCGCCCAGGGCCGGGGTCGGGCAAGGCGGCGCCCGGGACGCGCTGGACAAGCAGGTACCGTGCGCCCTCCTTCCTCGGTCTCCCTCCCTGCGGCCGCGGCACACTCCCTCTTCTTCTAACCCTCGAGGTCTAGGGCTCGACCGGACGCGGGAACCGTACTCCGAGATCCAAGGGTCCCCCGCGGTGTCAGGGGCAGGACATCTCCACGCGCCGCCGCGTCTCCATCCTCCCCCGTCCCTCATCTCCATGTAATCACTTGGAACCGAGGCTCCGCTTTCTTTCGCGACCCTGAAAGCGGTCGGGTCTTTTCAGTTTCATTGCTAACCATCCAGTTCTTATCTAGACCTAGTTCGGAAGGATTTAGTGTGGTGACGTGTGTTGACACCTGTTGGGTTTAGATTGACACGACGGAACTAACTTACTTGGAAAAGTTTGGTTTCTCCCTTACCCGGCTGGTGCGTGTGGGGTTTTTTAATTCTGCGTGCACATGTTTGATCGCTGGCTGTGCAAGGAATAAGCGGGGGCTCCCAAGAAGGACAGGCACTTTCTGTTGGCGATTTTCAGTGTTTTGTGGTTTATGTCGGTTTACCTTGTTCACATTTGACCTGCTGGGTCTAATTATGGAGGTAAATATGTATGCATTTCCCTCAGGATTAGCCTTTGGTAGCCGCATTCCTGCTATGTTTAAACCTGTGGGCATTTTTAAAGAACGCTTCTCTGTACTTTTAAATGAATGCTTTGAAAATAAATGTGACCTTTTTATCCTGGATCATAATTTTATTAGTTTTGCTGTGTATGCATTCGGGGAGGAAAAAACAAACCCTCTAGATTTAGTAACTTCTGCGCCCCCCATTCCTGCAAATGCGAAATTTATATTTTTTCCAATCACCGTTGGGTTATTAAAGTTAGAGCAGACTAATTTTATGTTCCCAAATGTTCTCATTTCGCTTCTAGATCTCCACCTTGAAGAAAAGAGGCTGATTGTATTTGCTGTAGCATAAAATGTTTCGCAGCTGAATTTCCCCTGCAAGTCAGACCAAACAGCTTCTCTTGCAAGAGCGTGGCTGTGGGAGGCGCTAGCGATGGGATGATGAATAAGATGCCTACATAACCCCTGGGGCTCATAAAACAATGTGTAAAATTAAGAGGAGTTCAAACTAGATCAACCAGAAGTTTTGTTTTGTTTTGTTTTTTCCACTTTGGTTTCAGTATAAATCATTAACAGACTTAATTGATTAAACTTGTTATATTGCACATAAATCTGCTAATTTAAAAAATACACCCTTTGGTTTTTGAGGGCATGTTGAGGGTTATTTGAAAAACTGATTTTCAATTTTGTAGATATAGATACTGAAAATATAAGTTTAAATGTCAAGTCATGCATTTTAAAATTTAAGAGCATGAAAAGGGTGTTGAGGAAGCAGATTTTTTTCAGTATCTATTTTTTTTTCTATTGGTGAGGTTGTTTTTTTTAAAGGTATGTGTTCCAAGGCCCCCCAGGAGCCAAAACTAATAAGTTCTTAAGTGTTATTATGTGTAAAAGCAAATAGGTACTTTAAATTACCCTGGATATATATCATTGACTTAATCCCAAATTATTTTTTCTCCTATTTATACTAATATTCGGAGATAACCTTCTTTTCTTTCTTCCTCCCTCCCTCCCTCCCTCCCTCCCTTCCTTCTTTTCTTCCTTCCTTCCTTCCTTTCTTTCTTAGCTGGGGGTGTGAAGATGTTACTTGCTGCAACTTACCTAGCTGTCTGACCAGTTAACATGAAAACCTACATTTTTCTGCTTGGAAGTTATCTGGGCTCTCCTCTTCAGGACAGTTTTCTTTACATCACACTTTAAGACATAAATGTAACCCTCCAATAGTGTGACTTTTATGCCACTTTCTAATGGAAGTCCTAAACAGGTCATCCTAGGGGAAAAAAAAAATTTTGTTTGCCATACAAGTTATGAGTATTTCTCACTCATCTGGTACATCTTTAAGAGGATAGAAATTGGAACCTTTGGTGTACGTATAAAAACTGAGATATAAAGAATAAGCATTTCAAAATGGATTAGGAATTGGATTGGGAAATCTGTCAAATTTTGTTTTCTGTTAGGCATGCTTCTGTGACTTAGGTTAGTTTAGCAGATTGATGCTCTTCTCTAGCCTGCCTGTCTGGATGTGTCTGAAGAATTAAGAAAAAACTGCAAAGATAAGAAACAAGAAGCAGCTTCTACCTTAAACCTATAGTTTATGCAGTTGGTTCCCTTTCAGTTCATTTGTGTTCCTATGTGCTCACATTTTCTCAAGTACTTAGACTTGAAACTGGCAAAGTTGAGGCACTGAGCAGGGACCATCTTAAGGTCTGTTCCTCCAAATGTGCTCCTGGAGCTTTCTGAGTAAGTATTTCTCTCAACCCTGTAAACACAGTTGAAGGTTAGGGCTTGAAACAGGATTTAGGGAGGCAGAGTGGGTTTCCTCCACCATGTTCCTGTGACTTAAGTACACAAATCTCTTAATAGTCTCTCTATTTTTTCTGTGAATGAAATCCATTTCTTAATATTTAAAAATTAAGAGTTTGGCTGAGAAGGTTTCAAGTTGCCTTCCAATAATGACATCTCCTGTTTCTAATGTTGTAACAGCAGTGTGAGCTTTTGCTGTGTAGAGAATGTGACAGACTGTTTCACAAGATTTAAAGTTTACCAGTCTCTGTAATAACTACTGAATCTGAGAAGCTAAACACAAGCAGGTGATCAAAGTGGACATTCTAATAAATCAGTTAGGTTAGCAGATGTGCAAACCAATAGGAACATCATTGCTAGAGGAGGAGACATTCTTATTTACACTGGAGTGTGATGTAATGCTGTTGACAGTTATAGTTAATGTAATTTTTGCTCTAAAATGCCTCCAGTCATTCTTGTCAGTTTAAATGCTACTTATCCTTCAAATAATTCTTAAATTCTGATTGTGTTTTTCATAAGTTATATAATAAGAGGAAAACACTCATTGGTTTGTTTCTTCTAAATAATTCGAAGTAAGTTGGTTGACAAAAGAAAAATTAAGTTTTTTTTTTTTAAACCACTGTTAAAGTGGTTTTTAAAAACTGTTTCCAGTTAAGAAAAAAGAAAGGTGTTTTTCACTTTCCAAGTGTGCCTGGGTTAAAGGAATATTTGCATTGCTCCATTTTTTCAAGAATGTCCCAAGGATTTCACTTTGGTAAGTCCTTGGTTGATGGCAAGGCTCTCAGATCAAGTTTCCATAGTGGCTACTTTTTGGGTACTTTTAGTTATGGTGATAGAATCAAAATGAGTTCCGCTAAAAAATTTTCAAGTAGTGTTCCTTTTCTTGAACCTGTGTGTTGGTGGTACTTTCTAAAGAAATCTACGTTTATGTGAAATGAAAAACTTACTTTTCATTCTAGGTAAAAGTGTTCAAGGGGAATGGGAATTTGGGTTTAATAAGTACCTTCTGTGTGCCAGGCTCTGTGTAATCCTCCATTATCACATCTAATTTGAACTTCCCTTCAGCTCTTAGAAATTGCTAGTACTTTTTTCATTTATACCTATGCTAACACTGAGACTGAAAGCGTTCTAGGGAGATGGAGATGATCAAAGTCCAACTCCAGGTATGAAGATTGAATAACGTTGACGAGTGCCTTTCTAGGAAGGATCTACTTAAGTTGATTGAGCTTCAAGAAATTTAAAATCTGAGGGGCGCCTGGGTGGCTCAGTCAGTTAAGGTCCTGGGATCGAGCCCCGCATCGGGCTCCCTGCTCAGCGGGGAGTCTGCTTCTCCCTCTCCTTCTGCCTCTCCCCCCACTAGTGTGCGCGCGTGCACTCTCTGTCAAATAAATAACTAAAATCTTAAAAAAAAAGAAATTTAAAAATCTGAGTGGGATGGGGGTTGGGATTGTATGTGAATCACTATTTTGTTTATTCTTGTTTCCCTTTAAAAACTATTTATAGGGCAGTTGTAATTCTTGAGAAACATAATTGCAGACCATTGCATTTTTAAAGAAAAATGAGACTTACGTTTAAACAGTTTTACATAACATTCATCTCCTTCAGTAGGGGATCTTTAAAAATATTTGTACTTAGGTGAAAGTACACATTGGTTAGTCTAGTCCATTTAAGTGACTGAATGTGTCTTCCCTGCTAGCAGGAGAGACATATAGGAACAAAGCCGTATTTATTCTTATTTTCCTGGTAATGGTAAATGTTCTGTTCACTCTGATTTCAGTCATTTTTGGGGTCAAACATCTTAGTTCTGGAGGCTTAAAGTAGTAGATACGGGTCATATTTGTGCTGAATTAAACATGTTGATTTAATTTTAAAGGTTATGTGATTTCCCCTGTCACCTCGTTACCAGCCAGTCATTTTAGCCTTCCTAATGACCACAAAGTGGAGGATTTTAATAGTTTTATGGAATTAAGCAGAGCTGTATGCAAGCCCTGGAATACTTGTGGAGGGTGGAGAGTGTGGATGGTGGATGTTCAGTCTCATTTATGTTGTTTAATTGATATGTAATAACCAGCTCAATATTTCCTCTTCAACTTTTGCTTATTGAACATAAGTGAAGGGAAAATGGAATAAAAATATTTACTAAATCTTATAAAAAGTTTTAAAATATAATCTAAGGAAGAGAAATGATTTATTATTGGAACTTTGTAATCATTCTTTCAAACTTAAATGAAAAATAATTTATGGATTCGCAAAATGTAGTTATTTTAATTTTGGCTACACTAAACCTTACTATATATATTATTGTAACATAATTTTTTTTCTTTGGGAATTAAACATATTTTAATATTTTCTTCTCACTGGGTGATGATAAGTTGTAAAGCGTGTGTGATGACCACAGGTTTCTGGTTTTAGCAAGCAAATGTTAATAGTTGGTTCAAACAATTGATATTGCTGTGTGTTTAATGCAGATTATATTTTTAAGTTGATTTTGTCCATGTTTTTCAGTAACTATGCGTGCTGCTGCCAATATAGTTTTAATTTTGTAGAATGTAAAAACTTAGTCATTAAGATTATTTTGTAATGAAAGAAGCCAGATTGACAA